TTCTACGGCGAGACCCCGTCACCACGGCACGGCGACACCCCTCCACGGCACGGAGACACCCCTCCACGGCACGGCGACTCTGCATCATCCGGTGACACACACCAGGTGCCCGTGCTCGACCCCGACCTCGTGCTGCTGCTCAACGGCATCAGGCCGCTGCTGCAGAGCCGCAACTCGGCCGTCGTCATCGCCACGACGCGATGCTACACCGACATTGGCACGCCCGAGTACCTCAAGGCCGCCATCGGGCCCCTCATCGCCCTGCTGCGCGGCCCGCAGGATGTCCAGCAGATTGCCCTCTACAACATAGTGTCCGTCTGCCTCTCGAGCCCGCAAGACTTTGTCAAGTACGCCAACCACTTTCTCATCCGCGCTACCGACCCTCCGCCGGTCTGGGAGCTCAAGCTCGAGGTCCTGACCCTCATCTTCCCCCACGCCACGGCCCGCGTCAAGAGCCTCATCCTCAGCGAGCTCGAACACTTTTCGGGGTCCACCGACAAGGCCCTCGTCAAGGAGGCCGTCCGCGCCATCGGCCGCTGTGCCCAGGCCGACGCCACCACGGCCCCTCGCTGCCTGCGACTGCTGCTCGCCCAGATCACCAGTCTCGACGGCACGCTGGCGGCCGAGTCCCTGACCGTCATCCGACACCTGATTCAGCAGGACCCCGAGGGCCACATTGCCACCGTCGTCCGCCTCGCCAAGAATCTCGACTCGGCGACCGACCCCCAGGCCCGCGCCACCATCATCTGGCTCGTCGGCGAGTTTGCCGGCATCAACGGCGAGGACAACATCGCCGCCGACGTGCTGCGCATCCTGGTCAAGGACTTTGCCAGCGAGTCCGAGGCAGCCAAGCGCCAGATTGTCCTGCTCGCCGCCAAGGTCTACCTGCACCACATCAACCGCCAGGCCGAGGACAAGACGCCCGAGACGCCTGAGACGCCCGAGACGCCCGAGCCCAACCAGGACGAGCACGTCGTCGCCAAGCTGTGGGACTACGTGCTGCTCCTCGTCCGCTACGACACGTCCTACGACCTCCGCGACCGCGCCAGGATGTACCGCGCCCTCCTGTCGGTGCCGCAGCTGGCGACGCTGATGCTCCTGGCGCCCAAGCCCGCCCCCCAGGCGCCGAGCCCCTCCGAGACGCGCAAGGGCTTCCCGCTCGGCTCAGCGACGCTCGTGCTGGCCGGCGGCGGAGGCGTCCACGGCCTGCGAGGCTACGAAGCCCTGCCGCCCTGGGTCGCCGACGGCCACGAGCCGGACCCCCGACTGCGCGACACGGAGCCGCCGACGCCGGCCTACGGCGAGGACAGGGTCGTGCCGGCGAGTCAGCGCCTCGACAGCGCCGCGAGATCGGCGCCGAGCGCCGCCATCGCGAGGTCGAATGGACTGGGCGCGCAGGGTGGGCAGGGTGGGCAGGGCGAAGCGGTAGGGGCGAAATCACTCGATGATTGGCTTGCAGAGGAAGAAGCCGACGACGATGACGATGAAGAGGACGCCGAGACGGACAGCGATGAAGAGGAGGAGGAGGAGGACGACGACGATGAAGACGAATACGAAGAGGAGTCAAGCGAGGGTGAAGAGGAGAATGACCGGCTCGTCAAATCACCATGAACTGACCTGGCTGTGCCCGTCAAATCCCGCCTTCATCCAGGCCAACGTTTTTGACGGCCTGGCGAATACCATGAAGAGACAAACAAAAGAGACAAACAAACAACGAATTCCTTTCCCATTTCACGTTGGCCCCATGTTTCTCGGGCGAATCGGGCGGCTTGTCCATTGTGCCGATCGCCGACCTCGTACATTTCAAGCTTAAACCCTGCCACGGTGCCGGCCCGATCGTCGCGACCCTCGACCACCTTCGCTTCGTCTCGGACCTGCGGCCTCATCTCCAGGACCCGTCAGACGAATGCACAGCCCTGCTCCGCCAAGCGTCATGACCCCTCCTCCTACGGCCTCGTTCCACCACTCAACGCTCGCGCCCCCCGGACCCGCGACTTGCCTCTTTGAGCGTCTGCGCCTTAAGCGACATCGACCACAACGTGCGTCCCACGCTTGCGGGGTCCGTTTTTTCGAGTGCGAGATGCCGAGTGCGAGCGCGCCATGCACTGCGATTAGCCGCTTGCCTTGTAACGGGTTCTAGAGCGGCCGGGGATGCCCATTCTTGGCGCGATGCTTGTGCTTGCTAAGAATGAGAGAAAGAAGCTTGTGTGTTCATGTTGCCGTCTCCCCGGTTCCGTCCTCTATTTGACTGTCTGCCATCATCCTGAGGGGCGCGTCCTCGTCCTTTTGTAGACCATTGATCTGCCACACACCCCTTTTTCTCTTCTCTCTCTCTCTCTCTCTCTTTTCTCGCTCTCGCTTTCTCAGCATTGCTTGCTTGTTTCTTGATCCCGAGCTAGCCGTGGACGTGGCTTGCCTAGCATCTCCTCGCAGCCGCAGATCAACCATTCTCGTCCCATAACCTTGCATCTGACGACCACCCTAGCTGCTCGCCATGTCGGACGCCCACAACGAAACGATTCGTCGGCCGTTTGACGAGTGCAGCGAGATCAGCATCTACTGTCCCGTCGAGGCCACGGTGCTGGGGTACTACCCCAACGTTGGCGCCAACATTTTCTTCACCGTCGCCTTTGGCATCGTGACAATTGTCTCTGGCTACATCGGCATCGAGAAGCGGACATGGACCTACATGGCTGCCGACACGGTGGGCGCCCTCCTTGAGACGGCTGGTATTCTTCTCCTATTCACATCTCTGCTCAGAAATCGCGAGGAGCACTAACAACGACGCAACAGGCTACGCCGGCCGCGTCCTCCTCAACGACAACCCCTGGAACTCGGACGCCTTCCAGCTGCAGATCTGCGCCATCATCCTGGCGCCGACGATGCTCTGCGTCGCCATCTACCTGACGCTCAAGCACGTCGCCCTCGCCCTGAGCCCGCCGCTGTCCCGCATCCGCCCACGCCTCTACCCCTGGATCTTCCTGCCCGCCGACCTCTCGTGCCTCGTCCTGCAGGCCATCGGCGGCGGCGTCTCGGCCGCCGCCGGCCGCACCAACGCCGCCCTGCTGAGCCACGGCAACCGCATGATCATCTCGGGCGTCGCGCTGCAGGTCGTCGTGCTGCTCTTCTTCGGCATCATGGGCGTCGACTACTGGGTGCGCGTGCGCCGCTGGGTGCGCGACGGCGACGGCCCCGACGCCGGCGCGCTCGCCGTGTACCGGGACGGCCGGTTCAGGAAGTTTGTGTGCGGCATCGCCGGGGCGTTTACGGCTATTATCATTCGATGCGTTTACCGGTTCGTCGCTCCTGTGCCCGTTTGGGAACATGTCGTTGGGGAGGGTGCCGTTTCGAGAGAAAACAGCGCGCTGACGTTTGTGCAGAATTGTCGAGATGGCTGGCGGTTGGGGAGTACGTTGCCCTCTTTTTCCTTGCGTTCTGGTGACTCCACGAATGTGTCACCAACACTTGACGGTTCCCGCGTCTCTTGTCCACTGCTAACACGCTCCAGAACCACATCATGCAGGACGAAATCTCGTTCATGATCCTCGACGCGACCCTCGTCCTCGTCGCCGTCTCGCTGCTGACGGCCTTTCACCCCGGCATCTTCTTCCCGCAGATGGCCGGCACCAGGAAGGCCAAGAGCGGCGCTGCATCGCCCGAGGAGGGCGTCGTCACCGAGTCGAAGAGCGTAGCGACCTCGTCCAAGGAGGGCAGCAAGACTGAAGAGTCGGGGAGGGAGTCGGCGTAGGTCGTGCGGAGGGACGTTGCTGGCGAGTGTACATAGGGAGTTGACTGGACACACGAGGATTTCGCGACGTGGCTTCAAATAGATTTGATACTTGTCCGCAAAAGGGGGGCAGAATTGATTGATTTAGATGTTGATCTGTCTTATGTCTGGTTCCGGTGCTGTGAAGCTGGACTTGTCGGGGTGGAAGGCCACCGCTGACCACCTCATCTATCCAGGTTAATACGATGTGAGTATCGCAATGGCTATCGTGCCTTTTATTGGAATCGCCCGGGTGAATCAGCTAGAGTAGTCTGACGAGACCAGTAGGTGGCAATCGTTCCTCACTGTGACTAGGAAGAGTCTACCCATGAGTTGAACGGCTCACGCCTGGGCTTTCAAGTCTGGTGCTTCAGGTTTATGAGGCACGTATCTCGCATATGTCCGATACCCGGCCATGTAGTCAACCACATCCAATGCCAGACGAGGCCAGTACAACCAGCGTCTCCTCGTAGCATTGGGCCTCCGCTGCCATTTGTCCATGTGCTACGATCAAGGCACGCGATACTTCGGCTTCTACTAGATAGGTCTGACAGTTCTGTCCGTACAGAAAAGTAGTTTTAGCCCTTCAATCATGAAATTGACCGCTTGGCGTGAGGTGGCCCTGCGGATCCGCCGAAAAGGGGGCCCTATTAGGGGTCGAGGACTACGAGAACGTAGGTATAAGGACTGCGGAGGGCCAGAATTGAGATGCATTCCGACCCCCTACCTATATCCTGGCTGCCCGCGGATCACGCATGAAGACCTCTTCACTGTGCTCCAGAACAAGCACTGATACCCGTGTCATGAGAGTCTTCTTCCAACGTCTATCCCGTTCATCTGCAGCCGTGGTGCCATGAGGAATGCAATGATACCCAGTCCCAAGGCAATTCGTTCGTTCGGGCCCTCGGGTACCCAGATCTGCAGATATACTTTCGGGTATCCGCAGAGTCACACAAGCTTCGACTACCCCACCCCGTTCCAACCTAATTCCCTCCGAAGTCCGGTCATCACAAACACCATCAATTAGCCTGCAGCACAGCAATGTCGACCGAGTCACGCCCCGGCAAGGCGGCCGGGAAGAGGGCCTCGCGCTCGTCGCTGGCCTGTCTGCCGTGCCGCTCACGTCATCTCAAGTGTGACGGCCGCCGACCACAATGCACACGATGTACTAACACCCAAGAGACCTGCACCTATGCTCAGTCTCGCCGCGGCGGTCTCGACCGTGCTGCTCTGGCAGCGGTAGCAGAGCGGCGTAAACAATGCGCCGCCGCGCAGGAGGCGGCCCACGGTCCGCTCCTCTCGCCGGTCTACAGCGACGACATCCATAGCAGCATACCAACAACGCTGTGCCATGACATCTCATCGCAAGACCGTGACGGATTGGCATCTACCGTCACCGTATCGGCAGTGGCGCCGCTGGACATTGACTGCAATGTCGCTCAGGACAGGCTTGTGAGCCTGTACTACGCCAACTTCCACCGGCTTCATCCGTTTGTCCCGCCGCAGAAGTGCCTCGTCAAGTTGTGCAGCGACGTATCGAACATGTCCACTTGGAAGCCCCTCGTTGTCGCTCTGCGCCTCGTTGGTCACATTTACGATGTACGCGAATGGCCGTCGTCTCTCGAAACAGAGATCCTCAGCTGTCTGTCGAGCAGTTCGTGTGAGAGGCCAGTGGCGGTACAAGCCCGTCTACTGCTCTCGATTGCCAAGTTTTGGTACGGTTCCGTTTCAGGCGCAAGACAACTGATGAATGAGGCGTTGCAATGCGCCCTAGACATGGGGCTTAACGAACGCGCGTTTGCGACAGCACACGGACAGGGCGATCCCGTCCTGGAGGAAAGCTGGCGGCGGACCTGGTGGATGCTGTACGTGCTTGATGCGTACTATGCAGGGACTCTGGGTCGCGAAGACTTTTCCCTCCAGGATGCGGAGGCCACGGTCGATCTGCCCTGCCACGAGTCGGAGTATGAGTCTGGCGTGAGTGATGCTGGCGGAAACGCGTGGCACAAGAAAGGCTCCTGACCTTTTGCAGAACATCCCCCTTCCAAGAACCTTGGACGAATTCGATTCCCGCGAGTTCTTTCCGGAAACACCTCCCTTTTCCTCCTTTGCCTACCTCATCGGGGCTGTCCGGTGCGCGTCGCTCGCCCTGTCCCGGACATCATCTGTCAAGCCTGACGAGGTATCGTCTCTGCATATTCTCGAAGCAGCCGACTCGGCCACAGACGGTTGGCTGCTGCTCCTTCCAGAGGACAAGAAACGCACCCTCGATGCATCAGGCAATATCGACGAGCTGATGTTCCAAGCGCACCTCGTTATCCACGTCACCACCATTGGCCTGCACAGACCCCTCTCCGACCTCAGATTCAACACCGTGGAGGACATCTCGAGCTGCGCACGAGAGCCAGCCCGCGGCAGAGCAAGTGCTGATCTCATCAATGTGCACACAATCCGTGTGATCCGCGCTGTCGAGGCACAGATTCGGCTCCTCGCGCTGCCGGCTCGGCCGTTCCACCACACGCCGTTTACGACGTGCATGGTCAGCGAGGGCACGCTGGCGTTGCTCTCCGCATGTAGGTATCTGCTCAAAGGGAAGGAGCTTGCTGTTGCGAGGGATCAGATTCGTATGACTGTTGGGTGTCTGAAGACCCTTGGTGAAGTTTGGCCTCGCACGGCAGCGAACGTGGGGGAGATTCAGACGATCGCGAGGCACGTCTTATGTCTAGAGGGAAGGCCAAACGCGGCCGGTGATGCGTACAATGACCCTTCTTCAAGCAGAGGCACATCAAATGGAGGCTCAATGTCGGCTTTAGAGAACGATGGAGACGAACTAGAGACGTGCCTCTCGATCGCTCAGAATCTCGACAACAGCCAGCCAGCCATTTCTACATCACAGGATCCTGTCTCGGAGTGGTTCAGCATTGACGAGCTGCAAGGCGATTTCACTTGGTGGCCGCAAGAAAATTGACGTGGCCTGTAATGGTGCCAGCTTTAATGGTGTTGTTGTATATGTCAAGCAGAGATATTTCCATCCGGCACAGATGCTCCGCTTCTAGGGCATTTCCCTTCAAAATCAATAACAGCCTTCTTGCCTCGCCCTCTTCTCCTAGCGAATGCCCATGCCTCTGACGCGTCGTCAAACGAAAACCTTTCCACTGCCAACGACTTGATGCCGCCTTCGTCAACCAAGGTAGCGGCCTCAGCCAACCGCTTCGCATTAGGGGAAACAATGAAGTACTTATACCGCGCATTTGGATGCTGGGTCGCCTCTCTCGGTTCCGCCTTTCCAAACGCCCATGCTGGTGCTGGATCGCCGACAGTGATGATGATACCGCGGTCCTTGATGGTGTTCCATGCTTTGGTCAGTATGTCGCCTCCGACCGTGTCGAAGACGACATCGACTGCCTGAACTGTTGCCTCCCAGCCTTCCGTCTTGTAGTCGATTGTCTCGGTTGCGCCGAGCGTCTGCAGCCATTTGTGGTGCTGCGAGGACGCAAGCGCGATGACTCGGGAATCTTTCACTTGAGCGGCCATCTGCACAGAGAGGGACCCAACAGCGCCCGAAGCCCCGGTGACGAGGACGCCCATTCTCGCAGACATATTCTCATAGTCTTTCAGGGCTTCCCACGCCGTCAGCAAGGGAATGGGCAGCGCAGCCGCCTCGGCGTGGCTGATTGTCGTCGGCTTGGGGGCTACTTCATTGGGAGAGCAAACGACAAAGTCCGCCTGACCCTGGCCCCTCTCCGCCGAGATGAATGCGTAGATAAGCTGGCCAAGGACGAGGCCGCCGGCGTAGTCCGGACCAAAGGCAGCAATACTGCCTGAGACTTCGTGGCCTGGGATGCGGGATGGTGTCGCGTATGTCTCGGGCCACATGACGGCGTCGCCAGTGACTCCAGCTGCAAAGACTTTGACAAGGATGTCACGGCCGGTGGGGGTTGGCTTTGCCATGGCACTGTTGGTAACGATTCTGGGAGAGCCCATCTCTCCGAGAAGTTGAACTGCCTTCATCGTGGCGTGTCGGCGCGGGTTGGCGGTGATAACAGTATGGTGCGCTAGGTTGTGTTGCTCGTGTCTGTTTTCGCATGCTCAATAAAAAGCTACTCTCTACAGCTATTTTTTTGCAATGACATCCATCCAGAGGAAAAAAGTCGGGGTTTCACCCGGCGGCAACCCGGTGTTGAGGCATCGGGAAACGGCAGCAGGTGACGTAACGGGTACCCGATGAGTACCCGATTCGGGTATTCACGAGTCCCGGGCTTTCGGCATGCAGGCATCTCGGAGGAGATGGAATAGAAAGAAACCACGGAAACACAGAGATGCTAAGTTGTCTAATGGGATTCGTGTATTTAATCCCCGACAAAGAATCCACAAGGCAATGAAGCGTTCATCCTGATCTCTTCACCTAGACGACATCTCCTCCAAGTCCCCAATACACTCGTGAACCACGAGACACCCACCTCGAACAATGGATCCAAGCAACGAAGAACTTCGGTGAGCTGAGACTTCGGCCACAAAATCTTTTTGCCGTTAGACTTACCTAGTGTTACGCCAGCGCACGCCCCCGCGAGAAAGGCACCGTCCTCTACGACCACGAGTTGAAGAATGCTCCGGGGAAATCGATCATTGCCCTCGAGGTCGCCTTTCCTCCCGGCGGCTGGACGCCCCCCCATAGACATGCCGGTGCTACGGTTGTGGCGACTGTTCTGGAAGGTCAGATTCTGAGCGGCATGAATGGAAACCCGCCGAAGGTCTATGAGGTTGGAGAGAGCTTTGTGGAGCACCCCGGATGCCACCATACTGTCAGTGACAATTACAGCAAGGAAAAGCCGGGTAGGTTGATGGCTGTATTTCTGGTCGATACAGAGGTCGTTGTGAAGGGAGGATACGGGGCTCTCGTCGAGCTTGACGAGGGGTGGTGAGCACTCTGGATTGTGGTTGCATGCTTGCACCGAAGGATTGCCTGTCCTGGGTATGCTCTTATCTTGTCGCTGAACTACAGAGTAACAATGAATTGATGATAGTATGGATACCGCTCTGATCGCTTATTCGTCTCCTAGCTGCGCTTCAAACACGTTTCAGCTGGCGAATTGAATTAAGAAGCTTCACAATGAGTACCTCAACGTATTCAACCCTGTATCCGACCTGCAAGACTTCCACTGGTAATAGCGTTGACCCCGTAAAAGAACAGAGAGTCTCCATGCATTTTTCCATCTTCAAAATGACCTCAACCGAAACTTACCCGCCAAAGGAAAAAAAGCCGTGTCAATATCGATACGAAGCTGTCATGTTGCGAGCCCAGCCGGGCCCAGATTCACCACAGGCAGCCTAGGCCGCCAAATGCAGTAACGCTCAATCTTCATTCTTCATCTCTACTTGCTCTCCCCACCCAGCCACCTGTAAACGACAGAGAAATCCCGCCCCTTGCAGTCCTCCCGCTTCTCAGCACTCTCATACACCTCCCTCGCCTTGGCCGCCAGCTCAAGCCTAGCCCCGGCCTCCTCAGCCGCCACGATCGCCAGCCCCAGATCCTTCTTCATGAGCCCGATGCCGAAGCCGCCGCTGTAATCGCGCCCGGCAGGGCTGCCCTCGACGACGCCGGCAACGGGGTTGTTGACCTCGGACGGCCAGCACTTGCCCGTGCTGACGTTGATGACGCCGGCGAGGACGGCGGGATCGAGGCCCCACTTGACGCCGAGGTTCATAGCCTCGGCCGTGGCAATGTTGTTGAGGGCGAGGAGGTAATTGTTCGCCAGCTTGGCCGAGAGGCCGGCGCCCTGGGGTCCGCAGTGCAGCACGCGGCGGCCCATGCGCAGGAGGATGGGTTCGGCGCGGGGGAGCAGGTCGGCGGGGGCGCCGAGCATGAAGGTCAGGGTCGCGGCCGTGGCGCCGACGACGCCGCCGGACATGGGGGCGTCGAGGAAGGCGCCGTGCGAGGACGAGGTGATGGAGGCGGCGACGGCTTTGGAGGTCGAGGGGTCGATGGTGGAGCAGTCGATGAAGAGGCGGGACGAGGAGGGCGCGATCTCCGAGAGGATGGAGGCGTAGACCGACTTTACGTGAGAGGGCTCCGGCAGGACGGTGATGACGGTGGTCTGGCCAGGGTTAGCTGGTTGACTGGCATTTCACCTTGGCCGCAATGAAAAACATACGGCATCTGTCGAGGCATCGGCTGCGCTGTCTGCCAGAGTGATCTTGGCGCCGCCAGTCTGGCTCTTCTCCATCTCGGCTTTGAGGCCGCTCATGGCAGTCTTGTTAATGTCGAAGATGCTGATGGAGTCGCTGGGCGGAAGCTTGGCCTGGAGGTTCCTCGCCATTTGGTAGCCCTGATACGGTCAGCCACCCCTTTCTAGTCATGGGTACCTCGAGGCAAACACACCATTTGGCCGAGGCCGATGAAGCCATACTTGTCCAGACGGCGGGCGGAGGTCGCAAACCCGCGGTGTCGAGCTGTGCGCAGCGCTGTGCGTATCCTTGTAGTGCTGGGGCGCATGTTGTCTGTTGGATCTCGGCCGTGAATGCGCGATAGGATCGTCAGTAGCAAAGATTCCCAGAAAGCAGGCAGATAGATTGAAGAGTGTTCAGGCTTCCAACTGAGCTCGAACCGCGACAAGAAACCCGTCTGCTGTGACGCGGGGTGTTGTTACCCGAAAGCCGGCCATTGCCGGTCTTAGCCATCCAGCTGTCCTTGTTCCCGCTTGAGCCGGGCTGGGGGCGCGGTGGGGGAAGCTGGGGAAGGCCGCCCATGTCCACGACCCCTGGCGCCCAGGGGCCGGGCGAACGTGGAGAAGCATTCACACACTTGTCCGTCTGGGGTAGACTGTACGGCTGGCTTGGAGGGATGAGCCACTGGTTGCGAGAGAACAGGCGCAGCAGAGGCGAGGTATGAAGCCACTGGTTGCCAGAGAACAGGCGCAACAGAGGCGAGGGAGGATGGGTCACAACGATTGAGTGAAGGTCGCAAATCACCCCCAACACCGTCTCGCGCATCGGGTCCGCATCACTGGCCATTTATTACTAGAGGGCAGTCATGAAGCCGCTGCCTTTCCAGCCTGCCAGCCCCATGCACATGTCCTCATCTCGCCTTCCTTGCCCTCGTCTCCGGCCGCCAAGGTTGGCTTCTGTACAGTAGGGTAGCCCCCTTTCCACGTCGTGAATACACCAATTGAACAATGACAAATAAGAAGTTCGGCCGAGCTGCCAACAGCAAAGACCTTTAAGTAGGGGGTATGAGCGAAAGGGGGGGAAATGAAAAAAGACGCGTCCACCCGACCCACGCCTCCAGAGAACCGTCCCAGAAACCAAAAACCACTCCTGTCAACCCGTCCGTACCCTGCTCCAGCAGCCCCTGGGCTGTTTAGAACACCCCCATAAGGAAGGGAACAATTGCACTGTAGCCATGCGGTCAGTAAACCCGTTTGTTTTGTCGGCACGACATGTGACAAGACTCACCCGACGGCCAGAGTGGCACTGATTCCGAGCAGCGCTCGGTTCCGCACGCGTTCCTTCTTGAGTTGCACGTTCGGCTTGGTCCGCTTGCTGCTGCGCTCGCTCGACTCTGGGCCCTCCTCCGCCTCCTCCGCTGCTGTCATGTCCTCTGCCTTGCGCTTGGACTTGGCCAGCTCAACCGGCTCCTTCTCTTCACTCTCGACGTCGACATCGCCGTCGGCGTCGGCCGCGTCGCTCGTCTTTGTGACAGTCGCAGCTTCGACCATCGACTTGGCCTCGGCGATCATACGGGCCGTCTCCTCGGCTGTCGGGGGCTCGGTGCTGGAGAGCGGCAGCTCAAGCGCCACTGTGGTGTGCTTGGTCTCGTGGCCTTCCTCGTCAATCTTGACATCCTGTTCGACGATCACCTTGACCTTTTGTTCCTCATCCTGTGCCTGCAAGACGACGGCAGGCTCAAACTCGACTGTTCTCGTCGTCGTTTCCGCCGCAGACTCGGCAGCCTTGTCCTCCTCGATGACGCCGTTAATCTCGGCCTTCATGGCAACGGGCGCCGCCGTCAGGTCAACCGACTCGGACTTGGTCTTGCGCTTGCGAGGTGTCTTAACCGGGCGAGGAGCAGGAGCTGCAGACTTTGTGGGACTGGCGGAGCGGCGGAGACGCATGCTGCGCGGCGGCGTGGGAGGAGCCAGCTGGGGCTGCGGGGCCTTCTTGACCTCAAACTTGGGAGGGGCGGCAATCTTCTTGGGAGGACTGTCGGGCTGTTGGGTCATCGCAATGGTCGCCGGATCCAGCAGGGCCTGGATCCAGGGCAGCACGCCGTACTCCTCAGCGAGGGAGAGGGCATGGTCGGGAGGGATCCAGACGTTGCCCGCCGTCTCCTCGGGGCTGGTAGACGGCAGAGACTTGATGTAGCGGCGCTCCGTCTCCTCCTCGTGAGCCTCGGCGTAAGGGTACGTGGCCTTGAACATGCCCGTGGCGGAGACGTAGCCGTCGTGGCTTCGACGCATCAGGAAGTAACTGTTGGGGCTCGACTTGAAGATGCCCGAAACAATGCCCTTCGGCACGGGGGCACGGAGGTGGGCGTAATCGAAGACGCCGAGCGATGTCGAATCACCGTCCACCTGGTTCACCATCTTGGCCGTCAACTGGGTCTGGCCAAGGCGGCGACGCGACACGAGATCCTGATCTAGAGCAACTGTTAGTCGACACGCGAATGATGGCTCGGAGGAACGTGAACGGCGCGATCGTACAAGGCGGGATGTCATCGACCATCAAGGGGTTCTGCTTCGTGGGCAGGTGCCGCTCGGTCGAGGGCGTGATGGTTTCGGGGGCAGTGGCGGCGGCAGGCATTGCGTCTGTTGATCGCGACGACGCGGCGAAAATGAGATGATGAAAAAGATGACGACAAGCTCGAGGGGTTTCGGAAGGTAATCCTGTCGAACGCGACAACAGTATTGACGCCAAGAAGGAACGCGCGACCGCTGCGTAGACCAACTAGTGACCAGGTGCCGAGGGTTGACTGCGATGGGGCGCGTGGTGTCAGCTCAGAGGTCAACGGGACACGTCCGTGGTGTTGGAAGCGCGAAAAGCTGGGGCCAGGTGGTCGCCTACGCTACCGAACCGCGCGCGCGTAGAGGCGAAGTCGAAAAGGAGTGCGGCGATAGAAAGCCTTTCGCGATTGATGATCGACCGGGGCGGTCGATGAGTGGAATTAAACCGGTTGGTTATGGGGGAAGACAGCGACACCGGAGAAGGAGAGAAAGGATGGAGATGGTGGGTGGTGGTGGAGGGAAGAGACGACAGGACACGAAAAGGATGGGCAGCGCAATTTGGGCGAAGCTTCACCACTTTTGGCGTCCACTTTCGAGGAATTGAGGGTCCCCTCGAGTTGTCGGGGGGAAGGGCGAATGGGCGGCAGGCGCACCCCAGGCAGGGCACGGGCGGCAGGGGCGGGCGGGAGGTCTGGGGGGGGTGTTCGGTGTTCGATGGAAGGAAGAACTGAGGGTTGAGCTTGGGCCTCTACTAAGGGGTACATCCTTTGCATGCTGTCTTGCGTGAGGCCAGGTGTACCTCGCAGGAAATGGGAGCGCAGCTGCCCGATTCAGTCCTTGGCAGGAGCTATTCCGTTCTTGTCCGAAACAAATTGGGGTGGTCCCCTTCTCTGGTCAGGTGCTGCCCTCTCTTTGGGTGCGTCGTCCTTTCCACTCTCCTCCTGTAGAGGATTCGATTACCTGAGCCACCTGGCTCTGTGTCCCTGGTCCCAGTCCCGAGTCCCAATGAGAGACTCCAGGGCAAACTGCGACATTGGACTTCTTCTCGATCCTTTCAGCTCCATGAAGGTCACCCTCGAATGTGCTCCCTGTCGATGGACCACCAGCTCGAGCTATCATCCCAAGCATGACCTCAGCCTGCGCGAACGCCTGCCCCCGACCCAAGCTTGCCGTCGCTCCATCGGCGTAAGAGTGGGGGAGCACAGGCATGGCGACATGGATACCCTCTACCCATCATGCCGCACCCATCTGGAGTTGCTACCATGAACCAACTGGACGGACCGTGGACCGCGGCTCGTGGCTCGCTGCAGTCCTCGTCGGCGTTGCTTTCTTTTTTTCCCTTCTGTCGCTTGCGCAGATGGTTTCTCGAGAGCATAAACTGACAGCAGTCGGACCAACCGTACAGTCACGGCGCCTGCTCTCCCACTCAGTCACAACATGCGCTGCCGGGTTTGCGGAGAGGCTATTTCGAAATGAAGCAGGCCAAAAATGCGCGAAGACACCCGATCCGCACCGCCTTTGCCCAAGGCCCAAGACCCTCGACCACAAATGTCCCCAGTTGACGCTACGCCAGATGGATTGGTGACGTGGTCTATGGGTGAGCTGCCTGTTGATGCGGTGGTGAAAACAACCGACTTCTGCCAACAAGATAGGTAGGTCGAGACAACAGGTTTCCCAGGCATCTCCGCATACCTATACCTCGTCTCCTCTCCATCCCCTTCTGCTGCTGAAGAGGTAAAGAAAAGACGCAGTGCAAACGATCAAAGTCATCCCCAGAAACGATTCTCCCTCTAGGTAGCCAGCGGACCCTCCTTGCCTCCAAACCACGTAGGATTTGGAAGCGCTTGAAATGGCCCAAACGGGTGCCCCCTCTTGCCCGTGTCCAGACCGCCTCGTTGTCAATCAAAAGGGGGCTCCTCAAAGGAGGGGCAGAGGAGGGGCGTTTCTGCAAGGTGCTCCCATCATGGCCCCCTATTCGTCCGTTTGCCGCAAAAATCCCCGTCTTCTTCAAAGGCTGCTGTGTTGTTTGTTGCTGCTCATGTTGCGCCCATGTTATCGTACCAGGGCATTGCCGCCGTGTGCCTGGATGTGCCTGGATTTCCCATCTTGCCATGGTCCTCCGAGGCATCGTGCCTGGTCGCCTGCTGGAAGAGAAAGAGTTTTGTTGGTGCAGATCCGTCCCTTGCCAACGAATCGTTCGCCTCACATCGCAATGGCTTCTCCTTGGACCCCCACCGTGCGTGCGACAGGTCGTGCCAAAGCCCTGGCGAGACAGCATCCGGAGCATTCCACCTCAAGTAGGTAGCCAGCCTTCCTAGCAGTCAGAAGAGGGGAGGGGGGGCTTTGGAGGGGCAATGGCAGGTGGCACGCACCGCGGCCCCGGCTGGGTCGGCGGACAGGGCAGCATTAGGCACTGCGGCCGCCGGAGAGCGGCTCTCTTTTGTGACTGTGACCGCAAATCCAACGTCAATCAACCCTCGCCTGGGGTCATCGACAGACTTTCTCCTCTCCTTTCTCTCTCTCTCCAACCCCGCCCCCTTTCCCCTCGCTGATTTCCAGCGTCTCCTATCCTCAGCGACGCTTGTGCACTTCCTCCTCACCTTACCTCGCACCACACACACCAACTCGCATCCCATACCGCACACCACACACCGCTGGTAGGTAGAAAGCTCGGCACCCCACACTCCATAAAGGCCGCGATTCAGACGGTAGACCGCACCGCGACATCCCATCGAACCACCACAACACTTCAAGATGGCTTCTCAGGCCGCCCACGATGACGATGTCATGCCCGAGGAGACGCAGGGCTACAAGCTCTCCCAGCCTAAGCAGAGCTTGGCTGAGTACCAGCAGATGGGTGAGTGATGCTTTGTTTCTTTTCTGTCTAGCATGGCAGATTTGCCGAACGTGAAGAGCGCAGGTGGGAGGGAGAGAACCGGGTTGGGAGCTGTGGGGGTGATGGTGTCGCATGGCCGAAAGTGGCAAGCTTTTAGAGGAGTGAGAGCTGCCCAAGTCTCACCGACTACATCATGCGCCTCGGTGTGTCTGCAGGTGAATGACGACGCGATTAATTCACCGAAGCTTACCGAATGCTCACCGAGGCCGTGAATGAAGGTTCATCTGGTCTGGCACGGCATGGCAAGGCAAGAACACCGTCAAAGGAGATGTCGACACTGTAAGCGCGGGCACCTTCCTCACGAAGGCCATCTTGACCCGGCATGTCTTCACCTGGCCAGTCACCCGGAGAGGCATGCCAGCTCCTTCCACGTCCAGCACCTCACGAAGCCACCACTGCGGTCACCACCACCTGCGGTCACCATCACCCACGCGGGCCCTGTCACGATGCCGGGACTCCTGTTCAGTGACGGCCTGGCCTACTATCACCACTACCAAGGCAGGTCGAACAGTCCTCGGTCCTCACGTCCAAACCCCTCTCGGCGCGAGGCCATCCGCAACCGCGTCAACCCCTTGGCTCCACGCGAATCCCTTTATCCAGGTGTATTCCCAGCTGCCCCCGTCTACCCTCCCCGCATCATCCGCCCCGATGAGATTCTTCCCTGGGACGCCACTGTCATTCCTTCCAGTGCTTTTGAGCGCGGTGAGATTTACCATCAGGAGCAGCAAGCTGCCGCTGTGGAATCCGCTGAGCTCAGAGCTGCCAAGAGGGCTGCCAGAAAGGCCGAGAAGGCAGAGAAGAAGGCAGAGAAGAGCAGAAAGGCTCAAGAAAAGGCTCTTAGAAAGGAGATGCAGAGAGTTGAGAAGCAAGAACAAATCATCGCCGAAAGAGCCGTATCTGAGATGGAGCATGTCGACCACCAAACCGAATCCCAATCTCCCGCCAAGGAAAGAATCATCAAGAAATTGAAGTCCAAGTTCTTCACAAAGGACAAGAAGTCTCTTGTTGAACCTTCTTCCCCCATCCATGAGAGTCACATTGAAACTACCTCTCCCGGACTGCCCCCCGCGGATAGAGCTACCTCCATCGACTACCTGACCCAGACTGAACGCCGCTCTTCCGTCTCATCAATCGACTCCTCTCCCGGCCTCCCTACTGACTCCATCCCAGACCAGGGCGATGAGTCCCTTCAGCGCTACAAAGAGTCCCTCGGCCTCGGCGGCGGTGGCAAGGACCTCTCCGACCCCAACGACCCCCGTGTCTGCATCATCGAGTCCCTGAGCATGCAGTCCCCGGGTCGCGGTCCCGTCACCATTGACCTCTCCACACCCGGTTCCGAGAAGACCCTCAAGGATAAGCCCTTCAAGATCAAGGAGGGCGCCACGTTCTCCATGACGGCCAAGTTCCGCGTCCAGCACGAGATTCTCAGCGGACTGCAGTACGTGCAGATTGTCAAGCGCAAGGGTATCCGTGTTTCCAAGGACACGGAGATGCTGGTACGTCTGGCGTTAGAGCCGCTTCGGGGACAACCTCGCTGACATTTCCTCCCAGGGCAGCTTCGCTCCCAACACAGACAAGACGCCCATCTACACCAAGACTTGTGAGTTGATCGTCCAGCATCGACTGCTGACCTTTTGCTGACCATGCCTATGAAGTCCCCGAAGAGGTCGCTCCCTCGGGCATGCTCCTGCGCGGCACCTACTACGCCTTCACGAGCTTTGTCGACGACGACAAGAAGGTTCACCTGGCTTTCGAGTGGAGTTTCGACATTGCCAAGGACTGGTAGAGGGCCAGACGCAAACAACGAACTGATGACGACGGGACCGAGGAGGGAAAAAGACGATGACACGCAAATGACTTGGCCATGACGGCCTATTCAGCATGGGCTGTTGTCACTTTCCTGTTTTCGGAAAGAAGTCCTTCGCTTGCTTTTACTCACTTACGAATCAATGCGATGAAATGCATCATGACTAGGCCGTTCCCAGTGATGTTGACTGCGTTGCTCGCCGGCAGACTCTCTCCAACGGACATGTCTGTCTTTATTCGTCATGAATCCTAACCCTAAAGCCTACATCCTCTAGTCTGCATGCTTGCAGCAGAGTAGACATCACATTGCACTGCACCTTCCCCCTCGCCGTCGGCTCGGCTCTGTCCATCACAAAAAGTAATCCGGCAGGCCCGTGCCGTCCGCCAGCTTCTCCGGCCCGTTCTGCTGCATGTCCTTGACCTGGTCATTCTCGGGTGCGGCGGCAAAGACGTTGAAGAAGCGCTCGCCCGTGTCGCTGACCTCGAGCACGCTCGCCATGTTGCCGCAGCGGTAGCAGTAGTTGGGGGCGCTCCAGACGGTGCTGAGCCTGTCGTCGTACAGCACCTGGAAGCCCTCCTGGCACAGCTGGTGGGCGCGCAGGATGTGGCTCATGTTGTTGACGGCGAGGAACTTCTTGACGACCTGCGCGCCAAAGGTGTAGCCGGCGCCGCGCGGCGACAGGGAGAACTCGTCGCGGTCGGGGTCCGGGTCGGACCAGACGAGGTCGGCCATGGGGCCTTCGTGGGGAATCTCGCGGAAGCGGTCGATGACGACGATTTGGTCTATGGAGTGGATGGAGGGGGAAAGGCCTGTGGTGCGGGGGGGCGAGGTTGTGTCTCGTCAGCTTTCGGTCCTGAGCGAGCGGCGGGGCCCGGGGGGGGCTACGAAACACGAGACGTACCTCCGTGGACGCAAAAAATGTCATTGTTGATGACGACGCTCAAGGTCAGGAAGTCGAACATGTCGGTAAAGTAATGCCAGACGTTGGCGTTGCCGTATTTTCTAGAGCACTCTGTGTAAAAGCCGTAGGACTGTGTGACGCCACGGGATTCGTGGTTCCCTCGAATCAGGTGAACGCGATCGGGGTATCGAAGTTTCAAGCAAACTAGGAGAGAGATGGTTTCAACGCTGAACATGCCTCGGTCGACGTAGTCTCCTGTCCGTGGCCGCCGGTGTCAGTGGTTGGGTTTCTCGAGAGCAAGCAGAACCGTTGTGGGACGAACCTAGGAAAAGGTAGTTTGTATCTGGGCACCAGCCTCCGATCTTGAAGATCTCGATCAAGTCATAGAACTGGCCGTGAATATCGCCGACGACAGTGACTGGCGCTCGCACGTGGACAACGTTGCTCTCTCGCATCAGCAGCTCTTTCGTCTTGGCGCAAATGGCCTCGATGACGGGCTCGGCGAGGAGTTCTTTTTTGTACAGCCGCGAGATGCACTCGTCCAGGTCGACCGACGCTGGCGGCTCAAGTCAGCAGGGGAGCTCAACCGACTCTGAAGACTGGCTCGGGGCGCCAACAGGGCAGCCCTCGGTGGCGGGGCGGAGGTACGAACAAGGTAGGCTGGGCATGTTGGCGAGCTTGCGGTTCGACGACAGCAAGCGCCGTCGCAGATTTGGTGGGAATCGAAACTTGTTGGAAGCTGCAGAAATCCTCTCTCACGAGGCCGGTCGGCGGGACGATTGACCCGTAAGGATACGAGCGCAAGCAATGTTCGGCGGGCAGCTTCGCGGGCGCTGCATCAGCATGGTCGGAGAGGGGTGGTCGTTGGCATGGATTGAGCCTGGCGCTTGTCGTTGTCCCGGAAAGTCGCGCGTCGCTGCTGGCGCCAATCGTTTGGGTCTTCGTCTCGGTGCGCTACGTTATTGTTGGCAGCAATGGTTCATCGTGGTCGAGGGGCAGGGCTCGGAGATCGTCAAGATGTGGTCGAGGATGCTCCAGTTCGAAGAAATCCAGATCCAGCCCACCATCATTGATTGGCACTGTGCTGACGCCCTGACTAGCCTCGACTGCCAGTTGGTGTGGTGCTTGCGCTAGCCGTGGCAGTCTACATCTACATCTGCCCCAGCCAGCGGCGGTCACGTCTAAAACGGTGGCCCGAGCTTCCCTTAGCGCGGCCTTCCAGATGGAATAAAAGGCTCCTACTGCCCCCCTCCCACTCCCTAGTCATGCCATCACTGCTTCCCTGATCTTCCCCTTTTCAACGTTTGGGCCTTGTCCGTCCCCATCACCGCATGCCGCCCCTCCCAGAACGTCCATCGACAGCAATTCCGATCCCTGGAACTACATGGTTAGAGACTCGAAGCCAGACGGATTATCTGAGTCGACAAGCTTGAACCCCTGGCGCTCATCCTTTTCCTTACACGCTTCTACTCGTCTGTCTCCCCTGTTTTGTTGTTTCCCCGGGCCTAGTCTTTTCATCGGCACCCATGGGTCATGGTCCTCTCGACTCGAGGCTCTACATGCCGACATCGCAGACCTGACCCCGTCGTTTGACCCTTGCCGTTTCATCGGATTTTCTTCTCTCATGTGGCCTCTGCTGTATATCCGACACTAGTGTCGAGAGTTGGATTTCTTTCCGTTCAGATCTGCCCAACTGTTCTTGCTTGACACTACAGTACGCACGAGTCATCAGGTATTCCTGACAGCGTGTTCCTGCCAGCTATCTTGCGAAATTTCCAGTTATCTAGGACATGTTGGCCCTTGAATTGAATCATCTGTACATTCGGATGGGGATTCGTTGGAGTGTTTCACGACAGGCTCATTTGTCCAATACCCTCTGCTATGTTCCGAAGACTGCCGACTGCACTTCGAACTGTATCCGGGCTTTCATAGAAGACAGACCGCTGCTGTCTCCTGCTCCACACACTTCATCTCCCCTGCCTTGGCTGGGTTATGGATTTTGATATCCGGACCTTCAAAATTCTTAAAACCCTCGAAGATGG